ATTTTTAAAATATATCCATCATTAGTGTGTTTTTAGCTTTCTTCCTATATGGTAAGCTTTTCAAAATTTGAAACATTAGTGCAGTGGTTTATGTTATAATAAACCTTTGGGTTAAGTTGTCGCAAGCTGGTTTTTCTTGTGTTTCTTGTGAATTTGGTCTTGAATTTTTATTTCAAGTGGCATTAAAAAGTCTTAAAAAGTCTTGAATTTAACTTGCCTTATGCTGTAGGAACCCTGAGATTGTACGCTTTTATCAGCTCACATCCGCTGCTTTTATTCTGACAGGCTGACACAATCAGAAGAAATAGAACATTTCTGACTGGATTATAGGTGTTAATAGTTTAGTGGTTCATTTAATGAGTGGCAGAAAAGGTCAGAAAGGGTAAACAGAGCACAACACATTACCTGTAGATCTAAGAAGCAGTATTTTTGGGATTGGCGAGTTCTGAGTTTACAGAATTATTGTAGTTCATTCAAAAATATCTCAGAGTGAATGTTTCTGCATGTTTGTTTCCCTTTCTGTCTGTGTTGCCCTGTGATGGACCATAAACTGCTGCTGCTCCGCTCATCCATTCTTTCACTCTTTTATGGTATTAATATTCATATCACTGAAAACTAGATCTATTCCACTGTGCTAAACATAATATATTGATAAGATTATTTCACTACATCTGGGTTAATTTGAAGGAATATTCTATAAGGAAAATATATTAATTATTGTTTATGAAGAGAGTAATCCTGTTTGCTCATCAATTCTTCAATAGAATAGAACTTTAGTAGATTTAGAAACTGAGATCTAAAGTATTTTTTTCTTGGAAGTAAGTGAATTCTCCCACGATTTGAGCACATAAGACATTTTTAAATGGAAAATGATTTACATATTAAAATAAAAATAGAAAAACATCACTGTTGAATCAATTCAAGTGTATATGATCTACGTTTCTTATTTTTAGGGCAAAAAGATTCATTCCATAAGGAGATCATCTTATTTACTTGCTAAAATCAAGGATGAATTCACTTATATTAAGAACATTTATTTTTAGATCAGTGTTTGTGTTGCAATATCTCTAAAAGAGATAAGTTGAGTAAAGCTGTCTGAATTTATCTTTTGATTGTAAATCAAACCAATCATCGAGGGCAGGGGTTTTCAGATTTGTTTCTATCATTTGTTATATAAAGGAGCAGCTTTAAAGTTGATATACTTTTTATTTGCAGTTGATTTAATTATAACAACAGGGTGTAAATACAACCATCCACCCTGTTTGTTCCGGAGGGTGTGCCTGATAATCATTAGTTTTTTCCTATTATATCACCAGATATGATGCTTAGCTGCAGCATTGCCTGCAGGCTTGGACCAGACTCCTTTCTTTGTTCCCAGATTCCCTCAGATAGGACTCTTTGTGCCCAGACATCAACTGTAAGGAGGGTGAGTCACGCAGTGAACGCCCGCCGCCACTCCCTTGACTCAGGTCAACATTCTTCTCACACCACCCATGTTGTCAGGAGGACTGTTTGGTTTTTGTTTTCCTGCTGTCCCCAACCTCAGATGCAACCATTGTTTATGTTTCTGATCCGCTTCAGAGCATCACTGGTTGCCTTATAATGAAAAAAGTTCAGCTGATAGGAAGTAAAGTGGGTCAAAGACTGATATTTCACTCCTGCGCTGCAGAATGTCCTCTTTGTTTGCATACATGTGAGACCCAGGCGTGTTGTAGTTAAGGCGTGTTTGCAGGAGGGAGAATGAAGTGACAGTTCATATTTGGATCAGTTGACGTCTTACCACATGGTGGCAAGACGCTTGGGGCTGAACCTGTTTGTCTGCTTCAGGTGGAGTATTCACCTGCCTGACAGCTGCTCCTCTCCTCAGTGAACCGGCTGAGCTGTCAGCGCGAACTGAGCTCAACTTCAGACAGCAGAAACAGCCTGATGCATCCTAAGGTTGGTTGGATTTTGTTTTAAGTATATTTTAGGATTGTTACACTGATGTTTAGCAGTTTGTGTACTGCAGGTTCTTTGGTTTTTTAAGGGATTAAGCGGCCTGCAGTCCAGTTGCTGAGTTTCTGGCATGCAGGTAGTTTCTGTCAAACCAGCATCTCTACACCGTGAGAAACGGCCTGCATTTCAGGCATGCTGTACTTTATCCAGTCAATTTCAGCAGGTTGCCACACACTGTGAATTTTTTGGCTTTTACCAAGATTTTAAAAAAGAAACAGTCCAGTTTTGAACTTCAATCTTAATTCAAGAAATCCTGTCATGCCAGGTTATCTCACTTGCTTGTTTTAGAACATTTTCCCTCAGATTTTGTTCTTTTATTTTGTGTTTAGAAAAACTTTTTCACATCTAGTGTTTTCTTTCCTCTATTCTCTCCAAGAAGACACGCTTAATCACATACCTGCTTCTCCACCTCTGTTTCCCCTCTTTAAAAATGAGAAATTGAGGAATTAAAATATTTTCTTTAGCAGTGGCGGTTCTAGACAAAAGGTACCAGGGGGCCAGGAGGGGGCCAGGAGGGGGCCAGCGTGTTTTTAGGGGGGCACAGAAAAGGCATTAAATAAAAAAACAGGGCAAGGGATTCAAATATATATCAAGAGAGCTGCATGAAGTGACATTTCTATTCAATTAGGTTTAATTATTAAAATTCTATTTCTTATTAGATCAATAAACATTCAAAAATTAAGAATTTTACAAATTTTTTTGACTTAATTTAAGTTAAAATTTGACCAATATTTTCTTAAATTATCACAACACACTTTGAATGTATTAATCTTATTTTGTTCAAATTAAAGAGGAATACCTGTAAAAAAAATAAATAAAAGCTTGTTTTAACTGTACAGGTCAATGCTTTGAAATATAGATAAAACATTTAGAGCATCGAAAGCACCGACCCCTGCAGAGGTAGATAAGATCAGCTTTAGATCAGAGTATCAGCCAATAAGCAATCTATCAAAATAAACAAGTAGGTGTGTCCCTACTCATTGCTAAAAACAAATAACGTCTTTTGTAAATAAAAAATGCGAAAACCAATGCAATCTAGAAATAAAGTATAAAAAACTTTCTCAATCAAAAAAAAGGGTTTTGATAACAATTTTGGTGTTTGTGCAGATTCTATTTTTTCAAAAAAAAAAAAAAAGATTTTTAATAAATGTTTTTATTTTTTCAGTTTCTTTACATATTCTATATTTTAAATATTTTCTTTCAAATGTCCCTCTTTCAGATATGATTAAACGAATCTCATTCTTTTCAAATGTGTTTTAACGGATCACATTCTCTTTATTTTAAGCCAAATTCTAACGCCGCGCACACTTTATGCGCACATTAACCAATAACAATGTTGTTGTTAAGTTCCATGCAGACCAATAGAAACGCTTCTTTGCTCCTCACTCCGGAGGAGAACCCGCCCCCAAGAGTGTAGAGAATGCATGCTGTGAAACACAATATGAAAAGAACACAAGAATGCTGATAAATAAATAAATAAGGTGAGAATAAAAAATTTATTTTAAATAAATATAAAATAAAATAAAACAATTATATGATTTTAAAAATCTGAGAAAACCACAAAGTTATTCTCAAAACCTTTTATGTTTAATAAGATTTTTTTCATTTCTGGATGATTGAATTTTTTTAATTAATTTATTTATGTTTTATTTTCCATTTACAAAACGTGTTCTTTTCTTGCAACAATAACGGAATAAAATTCATTCCATACTATATCAGGGGTCTCCACATTTGCAACTGGCTCTTTGGTTCTACAACTAATGAAATATCATTCCAGATTTGTATTCATTTTCCCACACTCTATGACCTCTATTTCTAGCTTGATGTTACTTCAGTGGCTCAGTATCAAATATCTTCATATTATTCCCACCAATAAAGAACTACAGATTTGAACTTAAAGATTTATTAACAACCTGAATGGATGCCAAGACTTCAGGGGACATAATTTTTCAAATATCCATTAAGGCCTGATATCGTATTTGTAATCATATTACAGTGCATTGAAGTGTTATACTGTATAAATAATGTAATATCTGAATTTGTCAGAACATAACAAAGCAGGTGGTCTGTCTGTCCCGCTGTATTAGAAAGCAGAGGCTATGGTTTCTGTGACTGTTTGCTTATGAAAAGGAAACGCCAAAACAAAAGCGATTGTACAAAACCCTGGAGGAACCAGTTTCTCATAATGACCCAGGCCATAACTTACATACCAGGGTGTTACTTGACTAAACATGCATAAAATGAAAAAGTTTATGTTTTTCTGATATGTACGACCCACGTTAGTTTTATTGAGGCATGGTAACAGGTTTTCATTCATTTTTAATCATGTTCCTATTACATCTGAGTCTGTTTGCTGATTATTTTGTCCCTTTTCTAGATTTAGTGTGAGATCTGCAAAGAACCATTAACAGCATGGTATGGAAATACAATTATTTTTCAATGGTGGTCATGTTTGGTTTACTTTTTATTGTGAATTAGTGTGTTTATCGTAGATGCTAAGTGATATATTTCATGTGCAGCCAACTCATCGGAGGGGGCGGAGCCTCTCTGAGGCCTTGACACTGGAGGAATCGGAGGAGGGGGGGCTGGTCATTTCCAGCGTTACCAATGACTCCCATAACTTGAAGGAAGGTATGAGATCTGACTTTTATTGTCTTTACCTCAAAGGACATATTATCGTCCAAATATATGGAATTAAATATAAGCTGACCATAGAAGGTTTAGGGATAAATGTCCACTTTTCCAGGTATATTTCTGTGGTCCAATTCAGTTCAAAGACATTTCAAAGTTCTTTACATGAATTAAACAAAAAAAATGAAGACAAATAAAAGCAAATAAGCTAAACATGTGATACAAGCAGGTATTAAAAATCTTATTGAAGTCTTGTTTAACAAAAAGACTAATCATATAATATACCTTGTAAATGCAGAGATCAATTCAATGTTTAGTTTATTATAAGTATAGAAATCAATCCAATAGGAAATTAATTTATCACACAGGTGTAGTTCCTTCATTTCCAGTTCATGCTCTATTTCTAGTCTAACTCTGTTTCTGCAAGAAGAGTCACCACTTTTCAGTCAACAAAGGCAGCTCAGTGCCTCATCAGCTGTTTGCTTTGCAAAATAAACTGACTATAGCTTCAAAGGGAAGTGTGTTTTGTTACCAGCTTCCTTGTCATGCATACTCACCAATTTTCCTTTGTGATTAACTGCCATTTTGCTTACAGTAGCAACTCAAAGTAAGGTCAGCTTCCGTCTCAGTTCTGTTTTAGCTTTGACCCTTCTCCATTAGAACCACTCAGTATGCCTAAATACAAATGACTCAATTTTTCTTGAAATAATTTTTTTCACTCAGTTTTTAAGAAGTAAATCAAATTGCCAGTGGAATAAGGCAGATATTATGTACTTATTTTAAGTGCATAATATCTGAAATCCTCGTTCCATTGGCAGATAGTCTAATTGAACTGCTGAATTTAAGGGAAAATACACAAATTTTAAGACACTTTTAATGAGATTTGGAAAGCTTTTGTTGTTAAGGTCCCCCTCAGCTTACTTTTTCAGGCTTTTCAATATAATATCTTTTATTATGATTGGTTTTGCAGTGTGTATTATAAACGGTACAGTTTGTATTAATGAGAACTTCCAGATTTTTTTTTTTTGTCATTACACTGTCACAAGTAGAGAGCAATAAAATGAACTCCCTGCATTTAACCCATCTCCTTGGGGAGCAGTAGGGCGCCATCATGCGGCGCCCGGGGAACAGTGTGGGGTTAAGGGACCCAGAATTGCAGTCGACCCACAGTGGGGCTTTAACTCAGAACCTCAGGCTTCCAAGCTCTATGCCCTAACCACTAGGCCACCACTCCCCGAAGTTGAACCTTTTAATCGCTGTTTTTCACTAAGTTTACCGTGTATTTGACCACAATAGCAAGCTAGCATTAGGTAGCTAAACCTCATAACTCCTTTAGTTTGATACTGCTATAAGGCTTCACTCTTTGCCATGTACTCATCCAGTTTTCTTTGTTTGGTTGCTAGCAGCCACGCCTGGCTCTCCTCTTCAACAGTGAGACTGAATAAAAGTCATTAACTGTACAGATGTTGTCCTGTGTTTGTGTGACATACAACGAGTGAGGCTGTATTGCTATGACAACCCTCTACACATTGCTGGAGTACTCAATTCAGAGTATATATATATATATATATATATATATATATATATATATATATATATATATATATATATATATATATAAATTTAACGTGATCGGACGGAGAGATAGGGCTGCAGCAAACTCAGTACATACATTTATACCTTACAAAATCACACACACTCCCCCAACAGGAACCGACCCACCCCGTGCATGAAGAACTTTCTCACACTTGAACATTTGGTTATTCCCAAGAAAAAAACACTTCAATTCATCAAAGATGTAAATTTTAGCAAGATAAACAGTATGAACAGGTCTCCCGTTCACGGCATGAAGGTGTGTGTGAACTCGTTCTTATCTCTCATGACCCTCCCTTCACCCTTATCTAGAGTAGGGAGGCAACTGCTTTCTGTCATCCCTAATCTTAACACCATAACTTAACTCCAGCATACAGACTGGTACAAGACTTCTAAACAATCACCCCTATTTAGGCAGAGGAAAGGCATACCCAAAATATTTTATCTCACCAACAGGCCAAGGAACAATATGCTTCGGTAAAGAAATTTCCAAGACATGTTCATATGTATTCAAATCTGATGTTTTCTTTTTCAGGGGATGAAATTTTGGGAGCAACAATAAATTTTGATCAGCTGTCAAAAGAGGAGGTGATAAAGGTGCTAAAACTGATGGAGCCATATGACGACAAAGTCCATGTTCTTACAAGGGGTGGCTTGAGCAAGAGTATGTTCAATTTGGATGACTGCGCAAGAAACCCAGAGGCAGTAGGTTAATTATGTTACTTTGAAATTTAATGATAGAACAACTTCAATTTTACATACCGGTACTTTTTTATGCCTATGAGGGAAAATAACTAGTTGTTGTTTCTAATTCTAGATGCTAAAGGATTCCTACAGTAAACTCTACAATGCCAAAATAAAGAGATTTGTGAAAGATGACCCATCTGCTGCCAACTCATCAAAGGTCAACCCTAAACATGACATGGGGCTGCCTCGCCTTGGAGTTGACTTTGGACATCTCAAATCCAAACCCCTCAGTTCAGATTTTGATGCAAGCTTGGAATCTGAGGCCAGAGATCTGACAGATGGCAGCAATCTGAACCTTCCACCTCTTGGAGTTGGTGACAAAGGTCTGAGACTAAATCTTAATGCAAGAAATCCTCAGTCCTGTCTTGGAGACATTAGTTTCTCTCAGAAATCACCAGATGGTATAAATGGCAAGATTAATGGCCCTGATGCAGAGGTTACGACACCACATGAAAGCTTAACCATTCCCTCAGGGAAATTAAGTCTGAAACATTCCAAAAGACTTAAAACTCCAGATCTGAATTTAGATGACCCTTCAAGTTTTGTGAAATCACCAGAACTAAGGCTGTCTGGAAAACAAATGGACCTTGGAAATATGGATGCCAATGCTTTATCTGGATCAGTCACATTGCCTAACAGTGGATTCTCTGGTGGAAATTCAACAGATTTGGCCACTGATACTTTCTTGATTAGTAACAAAGGTCCGTCTGGAAATTACAAGCCTCCTAAATTTACAATGCCCAAATTTGATTTGCCAGATATTCAAGTCCCAGGTTTGAATGGAAATGTGGAGCTTCCTGAAGGTGACCTAAAAGCCCCTGATTTAGATGTCTCTGCTCCTAATCTCAGAGCTGGGATGAATATGCCTAGCATCAATATGCCGAAGGCAGACTTTAAAACCCCCAAACTGGACCTTAGTGGCCCCAAAGCCAACTTAGACATGCCTTCAGGCAAACTGAAAATGCCTGAAATTCAAGGTCCAGACTGGGATATAAATGCTCCTTCAGGAAAACTTAAAATGCCGAAGATGGACATTTCAGGTACTTTACCTAAAGGACCAAATTTAGACCTCAATGCAGATCTCAAGTCACCAGATTGGAGTCTCAAATCTCCAAAGATCAAAGGCGGCATGCATGCTCCTGATCTGCCAGACATGAACCTTAAGGGTCCTAAATTAGATGTTGATACACCAGATGTTAACATTGGATCACCCAAAGGAAAGTTTAAAATGCCAAAATTCAAAATGCCTGATTTTAGCCTTTCAGGCATCAAAGGACCTGAACTTGATGGTAACCTGAATGGTCCAGATATAGATGTAAATGCACCTGATCTAAACTTGAAAGGGCCTAAAACTGATCTAGATTTTAAA